AGTTCAGCTCAGACTAGAAATTTGGTTGGAAGAGGAAAGTTCAGCTCAGACTAGAAATTTGGTTGGAACAGGAAAGTTCAGCTCATGAGAGTGTCCCCCTCCTGTCCCTGATCTCCTTACCTCACTGGGCCTCTGTCCCTCAATATCAGCTTTGCTGAGCCCCAAGGCAGAGGCCAGAGCTGTGGTGAGGGCCCAGGAGCCATTTGCTTTCTGGAGTGCCACCACTGCCCTGAGCCCAGAGAAGTCACACAGTCTTGTTGCCAGCGGTGAAATTGCCCAGTCCCAACCAATGTTAAATGCTGGCAGTTCATCCATCACCTGTTCTTCAGGAGAAAGCTTCTGCTCTGGAAGACAGAAATGTTCACACAACTCACATGGGGATGGGCAATGACCACTAACCTTAAATTCTGCCTTCTCCAAGTATACTTAACTCTACTCCATCCTCTCCAAATTTTTCAATTTTTCCAGTCATACACAAGCATCCGGAACTTTTTCCGGACCTCCCAGAGTATCTTCAGGTCTTTCAAATATGTCACAACTATGTTAAAATTTGTCCTATATGCTCTAGTTTACCCAGAGTAATTATCTCTGGGTAGGAACATGCCTAATTCCACCCATGAGCATCACTCATGTTATTCCTTCCTATCACTTCCCCCATTATGGCTCACATTCACCATTGAGGGTCCCACAGTGGTCCTTCTGCATCATCTACTCTTAAACCCACCAACATCACCATGAGTCCTTCCTTTCCTCATTCTAAGATATAAGACTTCTTTGGAGCTACAGCACCATTGCATCACAAGAGAGCGAAGATGAAGAGAGCCAAGCACAGTCCATGACTATTATAGTCCTAGGCTCAATTCTGGAGCAGACTGAAAAGTTATTATGGTCAGAAAATGAAGCAGTTGGGCACAGAGTAGTTAGGGCAAAACTAGGCATCATTTAAGACTGGCCTAAAGGTATACAGAGGTTGGAAGGGACTTCTGGAAGTCTTCTTGATCAAATTCCTGCTCAAAGCAGGTCTCCTTAGAACAGCTCACTCTGGTATCTGTGTAGTCAAGTCTTGAATATCTCTAAGGATGGAAATGCCACCAATTTTTATATTTTTCTTATGATTAAATAAATAAATAAATAATTCCTCATACCCAGTCAGTATTTCCCATGGTCCAACTTGTGTCTGTTGCCTCAAGTCCTAATATTGGGCACTTCGAAAAAGAATTTCCTCTGGTTTTTTTCTTTTTTTCCTTCAGTCAACCAACTGAAGGAAGACAACTAGACAAATAGACAGGTATCTTCTTCTAAAAGATAAGCAAACCCAGCTCTCTGAGCCTCTCCTCACACGCCATGTGCTCAGCCATCTCAGTTCAGTGGCCCTTCTCTAGAGTCACTCCAGTGTGTCGAAACCTTTCTGGTTAAGGAAGCAGAAGTTGGACACAATGCCCCACAATCACCTCCCTGCACAGTGGCTATACTCTTGCTTCTGCAGCCTGGGATTCTGTTGGCTTTCTTGGTTGCAGGGCACACTTCTGACTTTTGTTCAAGTAGTTGTCTTCTAGGACCCCAAGATCCTTTCCTGTAGAGCTGCTTCCTTCAACGTGCATGCCCTGAGCCCATATTGTTCGTAGGGTTATCCAATTCCTGATCCATTCCTGATGCGACTTTGCATTTTTGTTATCGAATGCCACACAGTTTCTGTCAGGCCATTTCTCCAGCCTTTATTGTACTGACCACATACCTAGTGCTCCCAATTTGTTGTTGTTCATAAACTTGATGGGAGTGCGCTCTGTCCATTAATGTTCAGGTCATTAACAAAGATATTAAATGGTACTGCTACCATGAGAGATCCCTCTGGAATTGCACGGGGTTTTGGGCACCAGCTGGACTCTGAACTGCTGATAACTGTTCCTTGAGCTCAGCAGTCTAGCCAATTTTCCACCAACCTTACTGATCCTTTATCCCAGCCAGTATCTCATTGATGCCTCAATTAAGAGACTGTCAAAGGCCGTGCTAAAGTCAAGGTATAGAGAATCCACTACCCTTCTCTTGCTCACAGTTCCAGCTACCTCATTCAAGAAAGCAGTGAGGTTGGTCAGGCATGATTTTCTTTTCAAAACCCATACAGGATGGCCCTTCTAAGAGGATTATTTGCTCCAGATCCTTTCCTCAGATTAAGGGGAGTCTGACCAGCCTGTATGTCTCTGAACTTTTCTTCTTCCCCTTCTTGAAGATGGGTGAGACATCTGACTATTTTCCAGCCATGGGAACCTCTCCCATTTGCCATGATCTTTTGAAGATGATAGAGTGGCAGTTGCATCAGCCCACTCCTTTGGCACTTTTGGATGCACCCAATCCCATAGACTTTTGTAGGTCTGTCACTCCATCCATCCCCAGCATAGTGACAATCAGAAAGTCTAGTGATTCTGAAAGTTCAGCCCTAGTCTAACACATTTTGAGAATGCTCAGCCAAGAATTTTCTCCTTACCTTTACAGTATGTCGAAAGCTGGGTGAGTATCTCAGTGTCAGGGGCTTTGTGACCGAGCATCTCAAGGCATAACTGGCATTTCTGAACCATCCAAAACTTGGTGGACTTGAACAACCCAGGCCTGAATCCACGCAACCAGAGCAACTGGCAGGGAACCAGGTTTAAAGAGGGAGAGAGCAACGTGGAAGAGTCTGGAGGCAAAGAATCTGGGAAGAAAGGCAGGGAGGTAGGGGTAGAATTGTAGATATTAGAGACAGGCAAAAGGGTGGTCAGGCCCACAGGACCAGGGGCTGCAGATGGTGAGAAGGCATCAGACCACCAGGTCTTCCAGTGTCCCCACTGTTTCCAGCCTTACCATGGTGCCAGGTGTCCCTCTGTTTCATCCGTACAGCCACACTGGATGTGAAGGGAGATGGAACCCCCAGGGTGAGGCTGGACTTCACTGTGCTCTGCCAGGTGTCCTTCTCTGTCCTGCTTGTCCCCTCCCAGGCTCGTTCCCACAGCAGGTGCATCAGGGTCATGCGATGCACTGGCAGCCTGCAGGGGCAGGGAGTTAGTCCTTGGTTCCACCTCAGGGAGGGGCAAGGGATACATGGACTAAAGAGGAGGGGGCAGTGGATTAATGGTCATCGAGCTCCTCTCCCAAGGTCAGCACAGAAGGGACAAGGCAGGAGCACCAGATACCCAGATTCTCTTCCCACCTCAGGGTGCAAGTGAAGGACTTCTGCTGTTCCTCCTGCAGACCCTGCCAATGTCACTCTGCCTCATGTGCAAGGTGTGTTACCCTCTCACCTGTCATCTGATGATGGGGACAATGAGAACCTGAGTGTGTAATCGAAGAACTGATTGCCCACATGGTACTGAAGAGTCACAGCTCCCTCATCCACCTTTGCATCCTGGTAACGCAAGGGAAGAGTCAGACAGAAAAGTTCATATTCTGGGCCCAGGTAGCCTGGCTACCTAGATTCCCTTCCTGCTCTACTAAGGAAGTAGGTACCCATGCTTGGAGCAAAGGCAATGAAGGTTTACAGAGCCCTGATAATGGTCTCTCCCAGGTCTAACGCAGGTGAAAGACTCTCAGTACTGGGAAAGTGGAACAGGACGTGGGTCCTTTACCTTCCAGAAAGCCATGCCCTGGTGTATATGGTTCCTGGATCCCTCTCACCTGTGCTTCCCCACAGATCTGGGCATAGATGGAGCTCTGATGTCCCTGGAAGATCATCTCAGGAGCTTTTCTGATCAGTGACACCTCCAGGCCAGGTGGAAGGTCCCAGTGTAGTGAGATCCCACTGGCCACAGGCTGCAGAGCCCGCTGCAGACATTTCACTGCCTGGTGACACGGGAAGCAGAGAGCACAAACCACTTGGACTCCCTCCCAGTTCTGGGATGATGGGAATTTGGGAGAGGTCTTGGAGTTTGTGTGGATGGTGGTATTTGAATTGCATTGCATGTTTATGTGAGCCATGGGAAGCATTGAATAGAGCAGGGGGGATCCTGGAAGCCCAGGTACCTAGGTCATTACCTTGGATGTCATGTCCACTCTAGGGTGGATGCACACACATTCACCTTTTGTCTCCAGGGCTATGGCCCGGGAAAGGTGAAAGTTGACACATCTGTTAGCAGGAAAACAGAAACACCTGTACAGGAAAAGAGGGAGATGTTAGAAGTGGGACACAGGTGAGAGGTACGAAGAACAAGAGTGGTCCAAAGGACAAAGTCTCGAGAGGTAATGAAGCTTCTAATTGTAAAAATGAAACCGATATTGTGTCTTCCCATTCACTCTGGGATAAGAGATGTTGCCTGATGACCATGAGAATGGGTTTTGGGGCTGAAGAGTGCATTGAGGTATTGTTTAGTGAGGGTAAAGAGGAATACTGCTGAGATACTGCTGAGAAGAGCAGGGAAAGACTGGGAGAGGAGGCCCATCAGGTGAAGCGTGTAGGCATTACCGGTGGTGGTCTCGGTAACGGTAGACCTCAGCCATGACAGCTTCCTCTTCACTGGAGATCTTCCTTTGAATGAAGATAAAAAGCTGAGGGAGAGAGGAAAGGAAACAAGGATTCTCAGGTCTTGGAACCCCCATATAGGAAAGACACTCTTCTAAAATGCAGACAGCCTTCCCAGTTTGCTCCGTTACACTCTCATGCCCACTGGCCTTGACATAGGAAAAGAGATTGTGAGTCTCCTTTCATCAGCACCAGGACACCTCTCAGCACAAAGAGACACCCTACAAGGAAGATCCAGCTCCCTCAGGTGCAGGACAATTGAATACAAGTCCTTCCAAGCTGCTCAGTCTAAAGATGGTGTCACTTTCTCCTGTGAGGATGCCTCTCACATGCCAACTCTCCTCGCAAACAGCATCAGAATATCTCACCCTTACCCCTGAAATCTACATTTGTTTACACCCATTCCCCTCCCCAAAATCCTTTGGCCCCTCATACCTGATGGGGGTGCCCATAAAGGAGAGGAGTGCTGTAAATAGACCTTAGGAGACCCAACAGGTCACAGCCCCCCAGATCAGGGCAGATGGAGGAGATGCGCCCCACAGCACTGTCCATGTTTTCCTGTGTGTACTCCACGCTCTGCCTGTGGGAAGGCACCCAGAGTGTCAGAGAGGGGGAGAAAAGTCATGCTATACTTACCCCTTGACCCTACTCCCTTATCACCCTGAACTCACGAATAGAAGGCTTTGAAAGTGGCCCCAAAACTGTAGATGTTGAAGTAACAGCCCAGAGGCAAACTCTTGAGGAGGAATAACAGTGTTCTGTGGAGAGACGGAGGGATGGGCAGAACTGAGATGGGGAAGCTAAGCAGAACGTCTGCCCACATGAAGCAGCTTGCCTCTATTCCCATCACCTGAGCATGACAGGTGAGGAAAATGTCCCCTGAAGATCTCGTCCAGTGGTACCTGTGCATCCTGGAAGAGGCTGCAGTCCACAAGAAAGAGGAATTCCCCCAGATGGCCTGGACTGGGCACTACTTCCAGAATGTTTGGCATCAGTGTCAGCATCACAACAGGGTGTCCTAGCAGAGAGCCTAGGGTGTGTGTGGGGAAACATGAAGGATTTATAGACTGGAGCATCCTTCCCTGTCTCTTTTCTTTTGCCCTCAACTCTGACTTTTTGCCCCCAGATCCTCCTACTCTCCCTGATACCCTCTCCCTAATGCCTATTTCCACCCTACTCACTCACCAGGTGGGGCTTTAGGATCTCTCCTCTCCACCACAGCACTGAGAGTGTGAGGCCCTTTGTAATACACCATTAAGTTCAGATCATCCTGCATCCAGGGTGATGATTTCAAGAATACCTGAGGATAAGTAGGGTGTGTGGAGAAAAGAGAACCAAATAAGTGGATTAAGGAGTCCTAAGGAGCACCAGCAGGCAGATCCTTATCTACTCTCCCACTTTGGGAAGCATCTGGCAGTGACATACCTGAGCAGATGTGTGATCAGAAGCCGTGTATTGCAAAGGGGTGTGGCTGCTGTTAATGACTACATGGGACACACCACGGGCTGACTTCAGGGAGATGCTGAAGTGCAGATTTTTGGACATCTCCTCCTTGGAAGAGATCCGGCCTGCAAGGAGAGAGAGGTGTGAGAAACTGAAACACTCAGTTGTGGTGGGGCTCTGTCTCTCATTTCTAGAGAGAAAATGTGGCATCTAAGTCCCTCACTGTAGTGTTTAGTTGTGGTGGTGGTGAATCTGTAGACACACACTGTGTTTTGCATAGGGGTCTGTGGGGGTCTCTTGCTGTGGTATATATGAGGAGACTTGTGGGGTTCATGACTATGAGGGGCAAGGGGCAATATTCAGATTCTCTCACTGAGGCACTCCTGCAGATACACACCCCCAGCCCCTCCCTGAGGGATGCTGGGGAGCCGCCTGTTCCTCTCTGCATCACTCACTGGTGTATTTTATCCACGGGAACAGTTCATGTGGCCAGCAAAACTGGGCAGCCCCATCTGGCTGCAGTGGCAGCTCCTGGGTGTAGCAGAGGCTGATGGTCACCTCCCCGTTAGGAGGCAGAGTTCCCAAGAAACAAGCGAACACACGACCCCAGAGATCCCACTGATCCTGCAGGTATCTTAAATTCTGCATGCCTGGAGTAGCTTTGCACAGCTTCTGGGCCTGCCACAAAGGGAGAAAAATGTATCACTGAGGTCTCCATAAGAATGAATGAAAGAAATTAAATCCACAGGATCCTCTCACCCAGTCCACAAACCACCCATTCCCACTACAACCCCAGTACCTCCTCCTTCTCCCAGAGCATTGCTTGAATGCAAGAGTCCCCCATGGTAGCGTGGAAGGTGTCTACAACAGTATTTGAATCCACAGGAAAGATGAACATGGTCTCCTTGGAGACTTGCTGCACGTTGCAGAAAACCAGCTCAGACACCACATCAGCCACAAAGTCCTGAATGGTTACATTTACTGTCACAGTTTCCAGCTCCACTTCAGGATAGGAAGAAAAGAACCATATTCCCCTCTGGAATAAGCCTGAGGAAGATACAATAGTTCTCAAACTCCCTGATTGTCTGTAGGAATCTTTAAATTTGAGGTGTCTGCTTGTAGTGGAAAAGAGCTGTGTGTCCAAACCTGCCACAGAAATGTCAGTTGCAGAAGCTGATAAACAGAAATGAAAGGTCCCTTAGGCTGCCAAAGTTTCCCTTTGACCAAAGTTTCTCAGCTTTCTAAGCCCCTCTTTGTCCAAAGCACATGGCAGCTGTGCCCTGAGATTGCGACCTGCTGTACAAGTTTCGAGCTGGCTTCCCGCCAAATTCCCGGAAACTCGACAACAAGGCCCCACCTCCCAGAGAGGGAAAAGAGGGAAAAAAACCCTAAGCAGCCAAAGCTATAGCAAATATATATATATATATATTTTACATATGAGACAGATACACAAAAGGAAAATACCTGGGGGGGGGGAAAGGGAGAGAGACAAAAAGGGGCAAGGACCGAGCAAGTCAAACAGCCAGCCGAAGGCAAACTAGCAGAAATCTCTCCACTTCCCTTCGAACAGGCAGAGTGACTTGGCGCGGCCCAAGGCTCTCCTCTCACGCGTGGCAGATAGCGGCAGTCACTGTAGGCCTCGGCTCTAGATAAGCTCGACCGAAACAGGGACCCACCGTTCTCGAACCTCGCCGGAGAGGAAGAGGGTGCGATCCCTCCCACTGGCTTTATTTATACCTCCAGTTACGTAAAGGAATAGCATGGAATACTTCCGTGATCACTTTTCTAGTTCCTTCCTGGTTACAAGTTGGTCTCCAGGAAGGCCTAGGGTGAAACCACCACACGTGCCATGCTTCGTCTTAGCTCAGGCCTACCATGACATTAAGAAGAGTCTGTCTGTCCCCCAGCACATAGCCTGAGACAGTCTCACACTGGAGCTTCACACATATGGCAGGAGGTGCCAAGCAGATTTGCTTCAGTGTTCACTGCCAAGGCCAGCTGTGTTTGGGTGACTGAGCACCGGAACAGGTTCCCAGAGAGATCCGGAGAGGTTTTGGTGTCTCCTTTTCTGGAGATAATCAAAAGCTGTCTGAACTCAATCCTGCGTAATGTGTTCTACAGGACCCTGCTTGAGCAGAGGTTAGACTAGATGACCTTCAGAGGTCCCTTTCAATCTTACCCATGCTGTAATTCCATGATTTATCTCCTTTTCATTGTTGACAGCAGAGATATTTCTCACTGACCTCCCTTTCTTATCTGTCATACTTGTAGCCTATGGTTTATCTGAGACCAACAATGTGTAGATCTGAATTTGGTTGGAAGATGGTCTTGGTTATCTCTCTATCTGCTATGACAGCAGCCAATGGAGGGAAACCTTCTCCATACCTTTGCCCTTGCTTTGAGGCAAAGAACACTCATTTTAGGGGAAGGCTGGGCATCAGTGAGGCATCAGACCTGTTGGTAAAATACATTGGAGTAGTGTCTTTGTCAAGAATGGTGCAACACTGTAGGAGGAAGAGAGTGACACTTTGCAAAGGAAGGTATAAGACCGTCATAGGGGTTGCTGTAATGTCTTGGAAGGAGACGGTGTACCTAAGATGGTAGAGTTCACCTGGAGAGGATGATTCAACTCACTAATCAAGTGATGTACTAAGGTATCAGACAACCACAGGGGTTCATTTAGCTCCACAGTAGAGATGATGCAGAATCATAGCACTGAGGAGGGTTACCAGCTTCCCACAGTAGTAGATATCTCGCCTACATCCTCCTACTACTTTGTAATCATTTCCCCGGAAAGCCTTCAGCACTATGAGTGAGATGAATCACGCTTACAGAATGATGTTTGCTATGCCAGTGACAGAATGTAAAGGCTGACTACAGGCCATGTTCCTGGGTTCCCAGAACATGTTGAGATGTGACTGCCTGTCAACCAGCCAAAAAATCCATTCTTCCCACATTACTCCTCAGCTAAGATCTTCTCCACCGCTCACAGGTGCCACCCTTCTGTCCCCAACTTACCCCTACACATATACTGTTTGCTCAGGATGCCACTTTTCCTCATCTAGACTTTTTGGTTGAAGAGAACTTCTGTGAGGAAAAGAGCAAAAATGAGCTACAAGGACCTTCTGGGGAAAAAACAAACAAACAAGCAAAACACGCACACACACACACACACACACACAAAACCAACCAACCAACCAACCAAAAACCAAACAAAAAACCAGCAAGAGCAAAACTTCGATCTTCCCTTCCTCCATGATCTCTAGCTCACACCCACATACATGGGTCAAGCTAACTCCTTGCATCCTTACATCGGGGAAACGGGGAAAAGAATGGATGAATTAATTTGTGTCTGGGATGTATGGATGCACATCCAGAAAAATGGGAGGCAAGAGGACAATGGCAGAACTGAGGAGCAACTGGAGTTATGTGGACTGTGAGGGAGAGGATTATAAAAAGTGCCTGATTTGTGACTGATCTGTCAGTTAGCCACCTAAACCCACCAGTTCTGTGTACAGTCAGTAAACTCTTACAAACACTGAGTAGAGCCTTGACTCTGTTGTCAAAACATTGGACAGGAGGGTCATTTGCAGCGAGAAGGCTTAGCATGGGTGAGTGATCCTAGCAAAGGTGAGGAAATTCCTTCTAGCTGCCTCCTGGGGGTTCTGTGCTGTAGATATTGGCATTGGGTGTCTATCTTGGAACACACAGGACATCTAAAATGGTACTAGATACCCATTCAATGACTACATCTCACCCCTAAATTGCACAATAGTATGATTCAGTTCAATATTATTATGTATAAAAGTAGGTATTTCAATACATTCAGATACATTCAGAGCAAGTTCTAAACCCCTGTGAGGAGGACTGCCAGAGAGTTCAGAAAGAGGGAGTGAGAACGGGGCAAAGGAATGAATGGGGAATGAGAGGAATGTGAGGGGGGATTGAACAAGGAAGAGAAGAGGGATGTGCATTCTCCGCTGTAGTGATCCTAACTGGGGGATCTTTGCACCTCAGAGTTAGTGGCCCCTGAAGCAGTTGATCTGAGGAGGCACAGGAGAGGACTGTGCTGTGCTGCACATCTGGCTTGGCCTTCAGGCTTGTGCTGGACTGCACCAATCCCATGGCCACAGGATAACCCCAGTCAGCTCATTGTAACAGAGACAGAACATGCACAGGGAATATACTGCTATCAGAGACCTTTCAGTGCTGCACAGCCTGAGGGTCTCAGCATCCAAGGGGGTGTAAGATTGTTGATGCTGTTCTCTCTTTCTTTCTAGTGTTAGCTCTAAGCAGCGACATTTCAAACGAAACTTTGCAGAACCGAAATATCTTTCTTCTTGGGGATCACTGTGAACCAGCACTTATCTCCTGGGGTAATGCATTTGGTGCATTCAGTGGGTCCCAGTAAGAAATACTTTTCTAGAGAAAAATATCCTTCTAGAGAAAGGATAAAGAGAAAGGTCACAAGAAACTTGGCCCAGATGGTCTTCCCAGTGAGAATGTCCCAGAAGAATATTTCAGCCCAGCTGAAGTATTAATGTGACTCAAGGAACACAGGTTAGAACAAAGAAAAGACAAGGAAAACCCAGCTTACTTAAATGTCACAAGGGAAGCAAAAAACCCTTCACTAATCTAGAATTAAATCAGAATTTGATGATGTCTGTTACTCCATAGTTGTGCTGTCAGTTTCTTTAAACTGTATTTGGATAATTCTCCTGATTCTGGAGGGCCCCTTCATCAGAGGAATTCCTGAGGAGATAGTATTGGCAGAAGCTGAGTCACTCTGCACCTGCATTTAGTTAATTGGAATCAAAAGGGAGGACTGATCTTGGCTAAGTGCTTTGACAGAGAGAGTGTTGTGTTTCTCAAAGTGGAAAACCACTTCAATGGTCTGCATGATAGTGTGTTTTTCTCTCATGGCTGAACACAGCCACCACATGACGCAAGGTGAATGTGTGGGATCAAAGCACTGGTTTAGGACAATCCTGGGAATTTCAGTTAACTAAAAGACAAACACCATGTGCTATTTATGAGAGAACATGAATAAAAGGGGAACGCCAAAAATTATCAGTGGACAAATCCCGAAATGGAAATCTGTGTGGTGTGCAGCCTCATTCTCTTCAGCGCCCATAAGATAGCTCCTATTAGGTGAAACAGTCATTAAACTGATAAAAGACTGAAGATATGATTCTTTGTTCATAGTAAAAATCCTGATTTACTGATACCTGCCTTCAAGGATCCCCATAATGAAGTTCCTCTGCTTGCACATCTATTTCCTGTATTTTAGAAATATAGTGTATATTTACAATATATTGGAAATATCATGAACTGGGTATGTGCCTCATTGTGAATTTGGACCTAAACCTGCTGTCCTTGATCTCAGAGATCCCAGATGCATAGGTACCATTTGAACTAAGGAGCCTGGCAGGACAGGGCAGCAATCACAGATACACAGAAGCTCCCAAGCCTTTGCCAGGGTACAAAGCACAAACAGACAGACAAATGCACATGTGCACACAGAACAGGACTGCAACATTTCCATGTGGGGGCAGGGAAGGATGGATGCACAAAATGCACTCACCATGAAACAGCAGACTGCAACAGGAACGACAGGCAGACAGATACAGGAAAGGCCCCGGACCTGAAAACTGTGAGCTGCGGCAGGGAAGGATGTTCCCAGGCGCGCTGGGAAGAGGAGGAGGAGAAGGGCTGGTCTTCACAGTGAGCGACAGGGATAGATGGGAGCCATGATCACTGCCGCAGTGCCTGGGCAGTTCCAGGAAAGGGAATGCTGCCAAACATGCACTCTGGGATATACGCTTGGGAACCAAAAGTGCTGCCAGCCCTGCATGCTGGGATGGGTGGGAGGCACTGGGTGTAGGGGTGTTCCAGGTCTCTGGGCAGCTCTGAGAGGTTGGTGGAACCATGAAGGAAGCAGGACCAATGCAGAACCCACATGGAGGGTGACTTTCGTGCCCAGAATGGGGAGCCAGGGGCAATAATAGAGATCATGCTGCAAATTGACTCCATCCTGGGGTCTCCGAGCTGGGGATGTTGCCTGGGAAAGGCCTCTTGTGAAGCTGGCATGTCTTGGGAAATGAACTGCAGCAGTGCTGGACAGGGTGCAGAGGGTGGGGGGTGATGCCCAGCACCACCTGCCCCACGGGAGAGCTTTGAAGTGTTGGGGGTTGGGCTCCCATTTTTACTGTAGGAGGCATTTCCCCACCAGAAGTGCAAGTGGTTGCTGGGAAGGGAACCATTCAGTTCCTGCCCACACAAGTGCTTCAGGTGGCCTTCCTGACATCCTCCTCTGACTTGTTGTTTTCCAGTGGGCTTCACTGGCTCCAAGAGGATACAGGTAGGAAGACAGTTTTGGACCAGTTAGGAAACCTTAGAAGAAGAGATGGTTGCCTTAGATATTTATTCTAGATATTGCCAAGCTTGCTTAGAGCCATATACCTGCAGAAAAGTGAATGCCATTTATACTGAGAGCCGGAGAGTAAAGAGTGTGGTGGTACCTGAGGTTGGCTTGGCTACCTAACTGGCTACCTAGTTGGTTACTTACTTGGTTACCCAGTTGGTTACCTAGTGCCCCAAAGTGCAGTCAGTAGCTTGCTCCCAGTCTTGTCAGAGGAGCAGCTATAGGGTAGTCTGATGTCCATCTGCATGACTATGCAGTGACAGACACGGTCAATATTGATTTGCTCCTGGAACAGTGAAGTTTTCTTTTCCTTACCTTGCAGATTTTCAGTAAGATGATTCAGTGTTGCTTTTCAGGAATTTTCTTCTCCAATGCTGATTATTAAAAATATCCCTTGAAAAGTTCTCAGAATTCTTTCAAAGCATCACTGAGATTTCTGCAGAGTACTGAGAGCTTGTTGTCTGGTTCTGGATATAAACTGTGTTCTGTGCTTTGATAAATGAATGGATGTATTAAGTCCTCTGAACTGAAAACTGAAACTGCTTCCTACTGAACTGAAACACCTTTTTCCATGCATGAGGAAAACTCATTGCTGCAGAGAAACAGTATGAACATCACACTAAGTTTGTTTCCATCAATAGCCCAGCAGATCATGCATTTTAAAATGTTCATTCACAGTGTCCCTCCAGTTCTGCAGCAAAAAACCTGGGTGATGTGCTTAAAAAAAAAAAAAAAAAAAAAAAAAGAAGAAGAAAAAGCACCAAAAGTAGAGCCTCTGGTAACTTGCTACATGAGTGAGTGTGTCTTAACTTCAGCCTCTATAAACTGGACATTTCCTTCAAGAGAAAACTCCCCTTTATCTCAGCATCATTGATGTCTGGGAGAAGACTCTAGAAGTGTCCTGTGCACAGCACATGTCCCACCACAGGGACTCCAAGCTCTGGACAGCAGCCTCTTTGTAAACCTACCTTTGGTGGCCTGGAAACTCTTCCTAGTGTCTTGCACAAAGACAGAAAGATATAACCTGAATTTTAGCTCATTAGCTAAGAGGTTGATAGAGGAGAGTTGCCTTGTGCACTGACTAGAATGAAGATGTATTCACAGTTGTATAAGAAACTGTTCCAGTGAGTGATCCCTGATGCTCAGACCAGGGAAGTGCAAAGCAGCTTTGCTTCATACTGTGGCTGAGGAACTGTTACGACCCACCCCAGGAAAAAGGGGGCGGAGGGGGTAACCCAG